CTTCCGCAACCTCTTCAGAATTGTAAAGGGAATATGGGTGAATTGTGTGTTTACAACAGGCCCAAAGCAGCGATACCAATAGCACCGATGCCAACGGCTACGCCGGCAGACATGGTAGGAGCAGGGTTGCTAGTGTGAGTGCTAGTGTGTGTGCTGGTGCTGGTGCTGGTGACGACGACGGCCGTCTTTGTGTCAGTGGCAGTGTTGACTTTGGTGCTCGTAATGGTAACGTCGGCAGCGGTAGCGAAGGCCGCGAGGGCGCAGACGAGAGAGACCTTGGTGAAGAGCATTTTGAGTTTGTTGTTGTTGTTTTTTTCTTTGAAAAGAATGTGTGAGAGTTTTTTTTGTAGTGAGTGGAGGATGATGATGATGATGGTTGGATGCTCAATTTTGCCTGAGCATTCGAGGTCCTTCTTATACCAATGATTTGTCCAGCACATTTCCTGTTCTGATCTTGCTGGGGCCTTGGTTACTGCATTGCGTTCCAGTACCAAACGCGAAGCCGGAATATCCGGTTCTGCCCCAAGCGCTTGTTGAATAGTGCCTAGATCGTCAAGTCTAACAATATAATTGCTTGTTCCACCCAAAGTGTGGCGGTGCCTAGACTGGCCCGCGGTGCTTAGTATACTTTAGCATAGCGCCAGCCAAACAGCCGAGCGATCGTGCTGATCACAGAAAGCTTGTCACATGTACCCCACAGCCAAGTGGTCGACTGTGTGGAGTGGAATCTTGGTGAGTTTGGCCATGTTGTTCATAATGGTGTACATACATATATACATACATACATACAAACAAACAAACAAACAAATGTACAGAGACAAGACATCTGGCAGTTGGGCCACAAACACATGTGAGGCTAGATTATTGAGGTGTGGCTATTTCCAGTGGCGCGGCCGAATATACGCCTTCTGACTTCGAGCCATTTCCGAGCTACGTTGTCTAGCGGTACGATTGGTAGAAAGACACTTAGTCGGTTACCGAACAGCTGGTGCGTCTTCGGGGAGAACCTGTTTCTGCACCAACACAACAGCACTTGTGCGATCCAAGCTTAGTAAACTTCATTGGGTGCAGATAGTCCACCAGTACAGTACTTGAGTGACAGCAGCTTGTACAGTATCTGGAACGGGTTGTTAGCGTATTTCCATTCAATGACATCTAGTTGCAGAAGCCACTGTTCTAGTCCCGCTTCAACTACTGTTGCGTATCGAAACAATGGGTGGTCAATCTCAGAAGACAAAGGTTCGACCGAAGCATGGCTTGTGCAGAATATGATGCTGTCAGCCCCTACGGCAACGACCCGAGTGTTGTTGGTTATGTTTCATAGGCCAAGGCGTTTATGCAAACGGGATAGTTTCTGTGACTTGATTGGCTACATTCGTCATGGGGAAGGTCAAATAAGGCTTCGGCCGTGCGTGCAGCGTATAAGCAATATCGTGGCGCAGCAGTTACGTGGCGGTGGCGGGGCGAGTAGCACAATAGGAAATCGAAAATGCCGCTCCAGCCGTGCACACATGTGCGCTGACTTCTGCCGTATATAAGTGTGTTTGCCAGTGCGGCATCATATCCCACTTTACCAAGCACTTGTTGAACTAGGCTTTTGAAGTTACGTGCATCCAACCATAGCGGGACAACCCCTGTAACAGAACGATACTTACTACTTCAGTCCATATGTACAATCATGCAACGTAGGCTCTGGCTACTGGCGCAACGTTACTGTACCTCATGTCCATTGCAAACAGCGCCGTTACCCTAAAAGAAACGAAGCGGGTTCCGAACACCAAGTGACGCAAATCATTACATCTTATTTCTCGTAAACAGATTTACCCTTAACGCAGCCTGAAGATATCGGCCTTGTCTTTGCCTGCCAGAATGTCGGCAACAGCCTCACCATCCATGATTCCATGCACATAACTAATAGCAAAGTCAGTGATGGACAATAATACGCAGTGAGGTGACAGCCCACCATTCTCCCACCATCGTATATGAATCTTGGCTTTGATCATCGGTACGCCTAAGTAAGTAGGGCACTTCTCCGCCCAGTAATACGCAGATCACATCCTTTTTGGAAACAGTCGGTGGCAGTAAGCAGAAATGACCCTTCTTAGTTATGCAAAACCTTCGTCCATTCAAGCAAAGTTGTCGTTTCTCCATAGCTTGCAACAGGTCTCTTTCCTCCTTTGTGGTTTTGGGTGGAATGTATTCTATCTTCGCTGGCAGTCGTTGTGCTGGGTTCCATCCAGCATTTTCTTTGAAATGGAGCCCTTCGATCTGTCGGTCGGTCAAAATTGTTCTCCAAAAGGCATCATCTTTAGCATTGGACGAATGATACATTTCAGACTGAGTTTTGATAGCCATGTTCTTCCAATCGTCAAGAATCGGTCTGTTTTTGTGACCAGCAAGACCGATGTCATCTGAGGAGGGGTACTTCTCTCCACATTGGCTGACCACGTCAAACAGATGGCCTTGGAGAATCAGCGTACGAGGGTCATCTCCAAACTGAATAGCAGACAACGATCTTGAACGGTCTGGTCCAGCTGTCATGAATACTCGCTGCGACTCTCCTAGATCATGGTAGGGCAGAAAAGAGGAGATTGGCGTAATAGATCTTGGACCGAAATCGGGAACCCAAGATGGAAGACGTAAATTCTTAGACTTTTGAGGCTCTCCAGTCATCCAGCGAAAAAAGTCCAGACCTTTGTCTTCTAACAAGAACGAGGAGGAGAACGACAGGTATATATCCTCGGATGGTTTGCTGTAGTCCGCCTGAACCCCATGGTCACCAAGAAGGCCTAATAGGCCATAAATCTTATCTCTAGGATCGGTTACCGATCGATTCTTGAATGACCATAGCAAATTTGACAGTGTCAGTAGCTCAGGCGTGGAAGAACTAGTCTGACATGATTGGCGTTGTCTTGTTAATGCCTCTGCAAAGCCAGAGACAAGCATGCCGAGGCTACGCAATGCAGTTCTTTGAAGCATGTTCAACCTCTGATGCGGCGGTATATGCCTAGTGTTCATCCATGCTATGGTGAAGGAATGGAATATCGACCAAGGAACATGACGAGAGCCGCACAAAACGAGGACATCCGGAGCCAGTGCCACTTCTTGGACTATCCACATTCTCTGCCACCAGGGACGGTAGAACAGGTGAATGAGGGATGTCATTCGCCGAAGAAACCATTCAGTCCCAAGGTGTGATAGCCAGATGGAGTCCATGTCACATTTAGCAATGTCGGTCAAGTATGGAAGGAAATCAAGAGCTACTCCACTATCGAACGTCTCTTCACCAAGCCAAGCAATTACCCGTTCTGATTTGGTATATATATGTTCCATCAGAGGCACTTGGATGCTCTTCTCGTCTTCGTTGTTTTGATTAATGCATATTGCATCAATCCAGATGGTTCTTGTGCTTGAAGGTTGCCGCAGGCGACGCAACACGGCTCGAAGGTTTGGTCGGATGTAAAAGGATAAACCGTTCAATGATATGCGGCATGTACTCTCCCCATCACCCCACGTATATGAGAGCGCTTCGTATGGCGGTGCTGAATCTAACGGATAGTCCCGAAGCCTGCAATGAATATCGGCGGATAGACTTTTTCCAGGAACGAGCTCGAGCAACCTGAAACTATTGGATTCCAGAGGCCTGTATTTGAAGCCACGACGGCGCTGTTTCTGACTTGGCGACATGTTTAAAAGAAGAACTTATTGACAAATTCCTTGACATAGGCTGGAAGAGTTGCTGATGTGGGCAATCCAAGTACTAAAATTTCGGTAAAACATGCTGCTCATTCCACAGTGTGGAGTCGTAGAGGGCGACAAGAGAATCAGGAAATGGCTGCCTGCTTGACTGCGAATGAGAGCTGTCCAAGGCCAGGTGATCCAGTAGAGGCCGTAGCCGCCAGCCACAGCGCGTACAGCCCCTCATAGATGTCTCAACACGCTGTTGCCTCTTGATGCCGCTTAAGATGTACTTACGACCAGCCTGATGCGTTTCAAAGATCATACCGCTTGTGCGGAGAAACCGCTGGGATACGCACCCATTACTTTGGCATAGCCTTGTAAGGCTGCAGTTCATAACTCTGCTGTTTCTGTTTTTCTCTAGAACCGCCGAGCTTCTGAGAAACAGACCTCGCCACGAGTTGGTAAAGGGAGTCAGACGAAAGTCGGATGTTGTTCCGTTGTGGTTGGATCATGTTCTCGAATGTCAATCACGTGATCTAGTTGCTCCTCTGCCCCTTCCCTCATAAGCACACAAGGGGCAAACTAGGCGTCGATGCAAGTACTGTAATACTCTATTGCATATATCACTCAATAGCATTGTAGAAATTCACACCATTCCGTGGCATTCACCATCTTACGAGGCTGTTATTTTTGTTTCTATAAATATTACAGTCATACACTGTATCTGGGTATCATTTCGTACATGGTTGTAGGCCCAGGCCCAGGCCATATGTGTCATGTGCAGTTCCTCAAAAGACATTATAGACTACGTCGTCTCATTTGACACGATTGTCTAATACTTTGTGCAAATATAAACGTTGATAAGACACGGATATTCATGTCGTGAATAGCAAAAAGCTTCGCAGTTTACCGTGGTTGAACAGCGGGGAAATATCGAGGACCCGAATAGCCATAGAATTGAACACTCTCAATGTCAATGTTACCGTCACGTTTGGGACTCCAGAATTTGAGCAGGACATATCTCCCAGATCTGCATAGCCAGCGTCAGTATATGCCGTCTCAAGGCATTTATTTTCAAACTCACATAGCTGGGTGAAACTTGATAGTGATCTTGTTCTTGTTCTTTGCAATGAAGAAACGTGCATGCGGAGCAATGGGAGGTTCAGCGTCTGGGGTGCGCTCGGATGGCTCAATACGACTGGGCGCAGTGATGCGTGACGCACGAATTGGCTCGATGTACCGCTCTCTCCGTTCGCGCCATTCAGCCCCGTATTGACTGTATTCCAAAGCGGGTGCTCGACGTAGAGGTGCCAGGCGCGGCGCTGTCTCATCATCTTCGTCATCGCTCTCTGGGTGCCAACGACTCTCTCTTCGTAGACGGTCTGCCATGATGGCAGCGCTAGAGGGTTCTTCGTTGGAGTCCGACTCGTCATCTTCGCTAGCCGCTGTTGTGACGGTGAAGGGTGGTGGGGTAGGAGCAGAAATTCCAGCAGCAGGGCTGTAAGAATCGTCTGCTGCATGGTCACAGTTTTCGGCTTCGGCCTCATCTTCATGCTCGACCATCTGACGCAATATGCGTCGACGGTCTGAGTCGGAGCGCAATGAAGATATCAAGTTTGCGGATTCGGCGTTTAGCCTTTCACTGCGGAGACGGAGATTCTCGATGCGTTCCTCCATGTCTTCTTGGGTGCCTTGGCGGGCGTACTGCCATACGGACGGGTCTTCAAGGGCCTCGCGTAGAGATATCTGCTCATTGTCTTCGTTGGGCAGGCTAGGTGTGGGGGACATAAGGGGGGAGCGATTATCATAGTGCAGACTGTATGCAGATGTGCCCGACAAGAGATCATCTGCAGACATGGACACGAAAACAAGACCTTCTTGGACACTGGCACGAGGTTAGCAGTAGGACTAGACGATCAACAGGAGACACGTACGGAGCCGTAAATCCACGGTCCGGTGCTCGAACGACGACCTTTTCTAGGGCAAAAGGGGCCTCGCCAATGTGTTTCAGCAGCAGGTTGCATTGCGAGCTCTCGCTGCAATAGACACTCTTGTCGTTCCTCAAGACATTTTGGACTTTGTATAGGCCTGGGGTATTGTCCCTGCGATGCTCGCCACCGTCACAGCTCACAACCTCCATACGCAGGCGTCCTGGCACGACCTGGCCCTTGTAGCCATACTTGAAGCACATGTACTCGGCGGGGCTGGCCGCGTCGTGGTGGAGCTTCCTGCGCTTGTGGGTGCGCTCGCTGTTGACCTGGACGATTGGGCTCCGGGGGCGGGCGAGCATGTTTGCGTTCACATTGGCGGTGAAGGGGTTGTTGATGGGCACGTCACTCAGCGAGTCTGGCATGTCGTTGGTCAGGTCCATGGCGGCCGAGCGCTGTTCGCGGATACGGGCCTGGGAGCGGCGGAGGTAGCGTTCGCTCGGCGTCGCCCGGGGGCGGCTGGGGTTGGCTGTGGGAGGGCGGCGCGACAAATTGTCGGGAGCAGCAGCGCTGTCACGTGGAGGGCCGAAAATGCGGTGCAGTGGGCCTCGTCGGGTGGATGTGCGAGCGCGCGCACGCCTGGGGGGCTCTCGCGGTGGTGCGGCGGCCGACGCCTCATCGAGGGCGGCACTCTGCTGGCCCGTCATGGAGCGCGGCCGATTGCGTGACGACGATGTGCTGGGCGGGCGGGCAGCCCTTGGTGGCGAGGGCGAGGCATGGGGGAAGTCGAAGCTGCCGGTGGTGAAGGGGAAGGTTGCGGGGGGCGGCGATGGCGACGGGGGTGGTCTAGGCATGGTGGGTGACGTCGGCGCGGCTGAGCATGGGCGAGGGGAGAGGGCGAGATGGGGCGTGGAGAACAGAGGGCGGGATGCTGGGTGGCTGGGTGGAGGCAGTGTTGGCGGCGATGTTGTATATACGTATGTAGCAGTATGGACGCTGGAGTCGGGGACCAGAGTGCGCTACTTCACATGGATGCGTGCTATGGATGGATGCCGCATGTCTGGTCTCGGCAACGGGCGAGCAGGGAAAAGCATGTCCTGCCCTCTCACGCTCGGCGGCTGAGGCCGTCCAGCATCAGCGCCCACGCCCGTTGCCAGTGGCCAGTCGCGGGGTGGGGGCTACGTATGCGTACATACTATGTACGTCCCTACGTACGCAGTAGTATCTGTGGAGCAAGTGGGCGCAGAGCCGCATTCCATTCCGACGCTCTCAACAGCCTTTGTCCATGTCGAGCATGCAAACATGCGAAGTACATGGCATGGTAGTCGGCCACTGCACTGCAACCTGCCTCTCACCTCCACTTCGCCTGCCTCGCCCACGTCATTCCACCGCTTAGTTGCCTTGTGCGGCCCTGGCCCTCGCCTTCTCCTCCCCCATCCACCTCCACTCTTCCCTCTGCCCTCTTACACACCATGGCCGACCTGACCGAGCCCGCCGCGATACCTCCGCCCGCAGCCAATGGCGCTCTCCCTGCCGAGAGCGAGGCTGGCCAGACGGTTGCTGCCATTGCCCAGGCCAGCCAGATTTCCGCAGACGAAATCGCCCTCTACGACCGCCAGATCCGCCTCTGGGGTGTCCAGGCCCAGCAGAAGATCCGCACCGCAAACATCCTCCTTGTCTCCATCAAAGCCCTCGCAAACGAAATCGCAAAGAACCTCGTCCTCGCCGGCATTGGCTCCATCACCCTCGCCGACCACGAAAATGTCACAGAAGAAGACCTGGGCGCGTCCTTCTTCATCAGCGACGCCGACGTAGGCAAGAACCGCGCCGAAGCTGCAAAGCCCCAAGTCGAGAAGCTCAACCCACGCGTCGCCGTCAAGATCATCACGACCGACATTCGCATGGAGCAAGATCCTGGCTTCTATGCTGCCTACGACGTCATCATAGCCACCGACATGGACTTTCTCTCCACCTCGGCCCTCAACGCAGGCGCGCGCATAGCAAAGAAGCCTTTTTACGTGGGCGCATCCCATGGCATGTACGGCTACATCTTCGCCGACCTTGTCGAGCACAACTTTGTCATTGAGCGTGAAAAGAGCAATCGCGACACTCAGATCGGCCCGGAAACCACAACCAGACGCGTCAAGCATGTCCAGGTCAAGAGGGAGAATGGAAAGGTCGTTGAGCTTGTCACCAAACAGGAACTTTACAGCCCACTCATGCTGGCCAAGGATTCGCCCTTGCCCAGCGAAATTGCAAACAACCCCAGGAGGCTGAAGAGGGTGCACCCACTCCTCACCTGTGTACGTGCGCTCTGGGAGTACCAGCGCAACGGTCATGGCATTTACCCGTCCCACACGCCTCAGGACCTCCAGCTCTTCACCACCATTGCCAACGTCAAGCACAAGGAGCTTCTCCTCCCTGCGGAAACTCTCAGGGCTGATGTCCTGCGAAGCTTCCTTCAGAACCTGGGCAGCGAGCTGGCGCCTGTCACAGCCTTCTTGGGCGGCCAACTGGCACAGGACGTCATCAATGTGCTGGGCCAGCGCGAACAGCCAATCCAGAACTTGATGCTTTTTGACGGCGAAGACAGCGCCGGCCCAGTCTATGCTCTTCACCCCATCTTCCCAGGCACCCCCGTGCCCATTATTCCGAGCATTCCTGTCGACGCACCCGTGACAGTAGTTTAGAGAGGCCCGACGAAATGACCGGCAGATAGATGTTGGGAATTCCTGACATGCAGTCCCGGATATCAGAGAGCCATGTATAGCTAGAGAAGAGATACCCAAATAATAATGCTGCATGACAGCGAGGGAGCAAACAGAGCTCCAACACTCTACCTACAGTCATCTCAACTACTGCGTCTTCTTCCCCTCGCCCTCCTTCTTTCCCGTGCTGGCCTTCTTCGACCCACCCCCAAACAAGACCCAACACAGCCCCAAAAACGCCGCAAACACCACTCCCATTGTCCCCGCCCTGACCCACGCAGCCTGCCTCGTATCCAACACGGGCACATCAATCCACTCCACCAGCTCCTTCTCACTCTCAACCCTAGGCTGCACAGTCATAAACCTCGTC